TATAAGTAAGAATTATAAAAAAGAAGTAAGTATAAATAGCTCCTGGAATTATAATAGTTTCCCTTCTCGCAATGAACATCGATCTGTTCTTGTTGTTATCATTACAATTGATTAATTAAACACACACAAAAATAAAGATATAGAAATTATGTTGGTATTTCATACATGTGTTAGAACTGGGTTGGGATATTTTGACGATTAAATCTTATTGTGTGAATCAGGATTCAATCTGATTTTTTTTAAATTGATTACTTTGAATATCGGAAGTTTTTTAGAACATAACAGAATGCCCTCTTGATCGCTTTCTAAATTTAATTTTGGATTCTTATTCAGATTTGGGTGTTTTGAATTTTATGTCTGGCGCATTGCTTTAATGTTTTGGATTCAATAAGTTGTTTATCTAAGAGACTGAATTTTGATTATGTCAACCCGAAACTAATTTAATATCAAATTCTGCCATTCCAAATTCGAGTTTCCTCACTACAACTTATTTCCAAAGTATTTGATCTCCCTAGAAGCTATAGTCACTCGATGAAATTTCTGACTTTTTTATATTTCACACTTCGATTATGTTCTGCGTATTAGTCCATAATTACAATCCAACTAGAGTTTGTTACAAAATGCCAACATCTATATGAATTTGTTGCAAACCAGGCTTTAATGACATTAATTAGTCAATATCCGTTATAGTAAGCCATTTACTCATCAATTTTTTGACATTATTAAATTTGGTTAAAATATAACATAAATAAAGAATTCAAAATTCAAACCTTTAATAATTGTATCCTTACACGATATTGTGTGATAAGTTGGATGATCCCATGATACGTTATGTGAAAATAAAGTAATATTATTTTCTTTTATAGTTAGCACTATGTCAAATCTTGCGAAACTTGAATTCGCCGCACTTGACATCAGCGGGAAAAACTATTTGTCATGGGTACTAGATGGTGAAATTCACCTAGATGCCAAGAGCTTAGGTGATACCATAAAAATTGAGAATACCACATCAAAAGAAAACAAAGCCAAAGCCATGATTTTTTTGAGACACCACCTCCATAAAGACCTAAAGTTTGAGTATTCAACTCAGAGAGACCCCCCTAGAACTATGAGTAACCATACTCCCCGCGGCCCGTTAGGAATGGACCCATTTAAGGTTGCAAGACTTTAAGTCTATGGTTGATTATAATTTAGCAATGTATAGAATTACTTCTCAGCTAAGCCTATGTGGAGAGAAAATAACTGATGATGAAATGCTTGAGAAAACATACTCCACTTTTCATCCATCAAACATTGTTCTGTCCCAACAGCACAGGCAAAAGGGCTATACAAAATGTTTTTACTTGATGAATCAATTACTTGTTGCTGAGAAAATAAGGAGTTGATCCTGAAGAATCATCAAACTCACCCCACTGGTTCTACCCCAGCGCCATTCCCATTCCCTGAAGTGAATGTGGTGACTAATAATAATAACAATAAGAAAGAAAAAAGTCACTCCAGCCTTCATGGTCAGGGGCTTGGGCGAGTGCAGCGAATGCAGTGTCTAATAATAACAATACAAATGACATGCGTCATTCGATGTGGAGCAAGAAATCATTGGTCGCGTACATGTCGTACGCCCAAGCATTGACGTGCACTTGTCGTGAGGTGCACTCAAAATAAATACAATACAACGAATATACGTAGTATAACGAAGTAAGGTTCGTATCCACAGGGAAAGGAATACTTTTCTTTTATATAATTAGTAACAAAGGGGGGGTTTTGATTGTTGTTGAATTTGAAGTAAATTTAAACACTAAGATGAACGACTTATGTGGTTTAATTAATAGAGATGAGGACTTGGTTTTGCTTTTATTCACTTAATGAAATGTTCGTCGATCCCGGTTATATCTTTAACTATCTTCCTCTTGAATACTCAGTCGAGGAGTATATCCAGTTCATCGAGGGCAGTTATTAATAACGAGATGCGTTCATTAATAAAACTTACTATCGAGTCAATATAGAACAAGCGATGTATATTAATTCGATAGTAGCGATAAGCTTATGATGAAAACGATTGAGATTGATAACCTCAACACAAGCGGTTTATTGGTTTAGTCAATATAATGAATTCCCCTTGGTTTATTAACCATGAGATGCATGCATTAACAATCCAAGTTTACTACCTTTGAAGGAACTGAATTAATAACAAGTGTATTAACCGATTGATTCTAGTAATAATTAATAGATGAAACAAAACTAGTTGATCTTTAAAGTAATGCTCAAAATACTAATATGGAATATGAATAGGAAGTAATTAATATTCAAGGAAAAAGGTTAAAGAAAATAACTCACAACTTACAAATCATTAAGCTTCAAAGTAGCAAAACCAAGATGGAAGAGTTTAACTCCTCATTTGGAGACTAAACATGAAGAAAATATAAAGAAATAACTATTCTAGACTGAGCTTAGAAGTATGTAGGAATTGGATCTCTCATTGTGAAGGAAAGGGGGGTGTATTTATAGGTTCTTGGGATGCAGCTCGGGTACCCGATCGGGTATATACACGGTACCCGATCGGGTATGTGTAAAACGTCAACTTCGAAGCATACTCGATCGATTCTGGCTATATTTCGAAAGTATACCCGATCGGGTATGTTTTAATACCCGGTCGAGTATGTGTAGAAAGTGATATTCGAGCTATACTCGACCGAATTTGGGGTTAAACTCAAGGGCATACCCGATCGGGTATGTTGGTCTACCCGATCGGGTATAGACATTCGATCGTGGCCAAAATCTTCCCTGCATGTTTTTTTGTCTTCGGATCCGATCCGATTTGAAATTTCACCAAGATACCCGGTCGAGTATAGATGATACTCGACCGGGTATAGACAAAAAAATCAGGATCTTCCCTTTGTCTTGTGATTTTGCACCTTCCTTCCACTTTTGGGTTTCACCAACTTTACTTTGAGTGATAATAGACCTGTTTGAGCTCAAAATAAACATAATCTAAACAATTTACAAGAATTTAACAAACTGAAATATTACACCAAAAGTGTGTAATTATCAAGCATCTAGTGGCTTCTTTCTTTCTTATTGTGGTTGTTGGTGTGGCTTCTCTCTTTCTTATTGTTATTATTATTAGTCACTGCATTCGCTTCAAGGAATGGCACTGGGGTAGAACCAGTGGGGCGAGTTTGATGATTCTTCAGGATCAACTCATTATTTTTCTCAGCAATAAGTAATTGATTCATCAAGTCAAAATATTTTGTATACCCCTTTTGTCTGTGTTGTTGGTACAGAACAATGTTTGATGGATGAAAAATGGAGTATGTTTTCTCAAGCATTTCATCATCAGTTATTTTCTCTCCACATAGCCTTAGCTGAGAAGTAATTCTATACATTGCTGAATTATACTCGACCGCAGACTTAAAGTTTTGCAACCTTAAATGGGTCATACCTTTGTTTAAGGTCTTCCCATAGTTCTAGGGTGTCTCTCTCAGTTAAATACACAGATTTTAGGTCTTAATGGAGGTGGTGTCTGAGAAAAATCATGGCTTTGACGTTGTTTTCTATTGATACGGTATTTCCAATTCTTATGGTATCACCTAAGTTCTTGGCATCTAGGTGAATTTCAGCATCTAGTACCCATGACAAATAGTTTTTCTCGTCGATGTCCAATGTGGCGAATTAAAGTTTCGCAAGATTTGACATAGTGATAACTATAAAAGAAAATAATATTACTTTATTTTCACATAACGTATCGTGGGATCATTCAACTTATCACTCTATATTATGCAAGTATTCAATTCTAGAAGGTTTGAATTTTGAATTCTTTATTCATATTATATTTTAATAAAATTTAATAATGTCAATAAATTGATGAGTAAATGTCTTACTATAACGGATATTGACTAATTAATGTCATTAAAGTCTTTATTTAAATAAGAAAACAGTTTCTATAAGTAAAAATAAACTTTATTGAGAGAAAGACGGGGGAATCAGCTTAGCCATAAATAGTTTGAACAAACTCTGGTTTGTAACAAATTCACATACGTAGTAGATGTTGGCATTTTGTAACAAACTCTAGTTGGATTGCAATTATGGACTCATACGCAGAACATAAACGGAGTGTGAAGTATAAAAAAGTCGGAAATTTCATCGAGTGACTATAGCTTCTAAAGAGATCAAATACTTTAGAAATAAGTTGTAGTGAGGAAACTCAAATTTGGAATGGCAGAATTTGATAGTAAATTAGTTTCGGGTTGACATAATCAAAATTCAGTCTCTTAGATAAAAAACTTATTCAATCCAAAACATTAAAGCAATGCGCCAAGCTTAAAATTCAAATAAAGCCAAATCTGAATAAGAATTCAAAATTAAATTTAGAAAGCGATCAAGAGGACATGTTGTTATGTTCAAAAAAAACTTCCGATATTCAAAGTAATCAATTTCAAAAAAATCAGATTGAATCCTGATTCACATAGTAAGATTTAATCGTCAAAATATCCCAACCTGGTTCTAACACGTGTATGAAATAACAACAAAATTTCTATATCTTTAATTTTTTTGTGTTTAATTAATCAATTGTAATAACAACAACAAGAACAGATCGATGTTCATTGCGAGAAGGAAACTATTATAATTCCAGGAGCTATTCATACTTACTTCTTTATTATAATTCTTACTTATATGTATATTGTTTGAAACTATTTCTTAATAAAATTATGAAAGCAATTTCTATAATTATATAAAGAAATATTTTTCTCTTATTTTAAGCCATTGATCCCAAAAGTAATTCATTCATTATTTGTCATAATAAACACAATCAGCAAACATAGTGAATTTATGATAAGCTGAAAAATATGTATATCAAATACTTCATAATGAGAATTTGAATCTTTGAACTAAACGAAGAAGAAAGAGGCGATTACGGACAAATAAGGCAGTAGCAAAAAAGATACTAGCCACACAAAGTTGAATCAAACAATGGAAAAACTTGATATAAACAAGACGATATGGGGGAACTCATTATTCCATCAGTAGTCAAGTATATCAAATCAATTTGTGAGATTACTCATATAGCAATTTGTAAAAAAAATTATTCGTCGTTCTTAACCAGTGGATTGATCAATCATTTAAAATCATTCAGGCAAGAGATTATAGTATAAATGTTGGTGATGAAAATACATGGATTAAGATCAGATCGATGCATCTTAATAGGAGGTGGGCCGAGCAATGGTGAAGATGCAACGATGATGAGCTCTCTGCGAATAAGAATTGATCGATGAATTCCTCCGGTGCCGGAAATAGATATATAACTCCCTGCTGCTAAAATCGATCGAGTCCCTCTGGCGAAGATTTAATCCCTTTCGCAATGAAAGGAAAAGAAGGGTTCGGTGGGGAAGGCCCGGGAAGAACGCCGATGACCGTAGATGGGGCTTTGTGGGAATTAGACGGAAATCGATCGATCAAGGGAGACGATCGATGAAGATGCTTGCCTGCCCGGGTGTGAATCGCTTGTATGCGATCCGGTTTTTGTGGGGAGGAGCGAACAGTTTTATTTTGTAAAGCTTCTTGCTAAATCCCGAAAACGGAGAAGAAAAACTACGACTTCATATGACATTTTATTGATATTTTGTGGTTATTTTCCACTGCAATGAGTTACATGGGATATTATGATTGTTTTGGCGGGGGGAAATGTAGCAAAAAAAATTGGTTTTATACTTTTATATAACAATATTAGACTATTAGTAATAGAAAATAGATACTCCCTCCGTCCCTAAAAGAACTTTCCATTTTGTTTGTCCCAAAAAGAACTTCACTTTCTCTTTTTGTCAAAAAATTTGTGGTTTACAACAATTCTTACACATTTCGCTCTCCTCTGCTCAACTCTCTACCACACAATACCCACTTTCTTAATTTGTGTGTCATTTGTAGTATGGAAGAACTTTTAGGGACGGAGGGAGTACTACATAACGGTTATTACATAGATTACTACGTATTATCCAATCATTCATAAAAATGTGGTGTGCACATGTCCCTCACATGTCTGTTACCACACACATATGCTTACTCACTTCAATGCAGTGTACAAAAGTGACCATAGTATTAACATGGACATATTACATCCTTACCATGACCCTTAGGAGCCTAATTGTTGAGATAAGAGAACGAGCAAGCCTTGGGGGCCAACCAGAATTTCATTAAGGAAGCTGACCAGTCCAAACCAGACCACAGGTGTGACATCCACTCCGCCAAGAGGGGGTATCACTTTTCGCGTTGCTCTCAACAAAGGCTCTGTCGGTGCATACACTATCATGTAAGGAAATTCCCAGACGGGGAGTTTAGGGTACCATGACATCACTATCCTCAGAATGAACAAGAAAGAAAACACCGATAAGAGGGGTTCAACAAAGCCAATGGCCAACTTGGCAGTGGAAGGATCCAAATCTAGGAGTGCTAATCTTTGCACAAAAGCTAATGCTTGTGAGTTGAAGCACTGCCCAGCATTGGATTTCATGAATTGAACCCCTGGAGGAACTGAAACTTGAAGAGAGCAAGAGGTTTTATGCCTTGCTTTCCCCCATTGCCGACTATCATGTTTATATGATGGAAGCTTTCCTGAAGATATTAAAGCAATATATTGTGTTATGCGTTAAGAGCTAAATGAATGTCAAGCAATTTCAGCTTAACAGAGTCTTAGAGAGTGTTTGTTTGCAAAGGAAACTAGTAATCCTCTTGTAAGGAAAAAATGCAGGCCCTGTTTTAAATGAAATTTTAGCTTCAGGAAAGTGCCACGGAAAATGGAAAACTATGCTATGTAGAAATTATTTTGTTATATTTACTTTTACCTTGGAAAATGACAAATAATAATTGGTTTGACATAATATAAATAAATAACAAATAATAATTGGTTCGAACAAATATCTGAAGTAACAATATCAAAACTGAGTTAATCTTTTATTTTCTCTCAAATTTTTATTCCTGACAGATTTCTTCTCTAATTTCTGAGTTCCAAACAGACCCTTTCTTAGTGAACAGTTCTGTCTGAAAAATGTATAATCACATTTGATTAACTGATTTTTATTACACAGCTAATTTATAAAGCATCAATTATAGAAGTCCTTTCCATCCAGCGAAACAATTGTAGTATGGATCCTTACAATTGATAAGATAAAGAATTCAATACAGAAAGCAGGCAATACCACCTAGTCAGTCATTCACACAAATCAAAAACCTAATTGTCTATATAAACACTCTCCATTTCAAAAATCTTTGTTTTCCTACATCTTTTATTTTCTGTTTTAACATACGGTCCATACCACAACACAAAAGAAGGTATGGTCATCATCCGGCCATACTCCCTTCATCCCAAATTAATTAAGGTTTCAGAAAAGTGCACATATATCAAGTATCATTCCAAACAGATCATTTTATCCCGGTAACAAGTCTGACATGCAACTTTTTTTTCAAAACATCAAAGCATTTAACGTGAGAAGAATTAATGTAGATATATTTGAAAGATTTTTCTCAGACTACTATGACTAACGAGGTGGATTCTCTCTCCCACTTCCTACTAAAAGAATTTGTGAGAATCATTGCCGACTCTTCAAGAAATCAGAAGAGACATTCTGAAGAAGTGAAAACTGCTAGGTGTGCAAATCCAGATTCAACTACTCAAGGGATGTTTTCTGAGGACTTTGTAAGCAAAGGGGTCTTTGATGAGCAGTTCTATACACAGTCAGGGATGATATTCTAGGCAATGCATAAGAGGGTGAGAAGAGAACTCCTAATTCATCGATGGACGACCTTTGGGACTCCGATACGCATGATGATGTTTGCAACAAAGCTTTGCTCGTCACGATAGAAAATTGTTTGCCCACAAAGAATTTGAATTAAGATGTACAAGAAAAATTATCAACAGTCCAATCATATGAGGACTAGATCTCAAACACGGGTGGAGTATTGACTACGTGTTTTCATGGGATGGTGTTTACTTCGGGTTGGTTTGTTTCATTTCTTTGTTTCTGTCCTCTTGTTACTCTCTTTCTTACCTTTTTCTTACCTTGTTTTTCTCTTTTCTTCTTGCTTCTTTTAACGTAATCTTATTGGATCCTCCATTAATAAAAATTGCATTTTGGCTTAAAAAATCGAAAGATCAATGCAAAATATTGAATGAATTCCTAATCCACAATTATTTGGGGGGAGGGGGGAGTTTGGCTATAAGGACGATTAATTTGGCACGTGAATAAGAGAGCAATACAGACCATGTGCACCACCCACTCCAAGAGCTGGTATGATATGAGATGAAATTGAGTCGGTGATAAGCATCCTCACCCTGCAGCCTGTCTGCACTTCAAATCCCAGTGAGTAGCAGGGCATATCAAAATACCATTTCTCAAATTCCTACACTATAAAACTCCAATTTCAATTACTACTTAGGGATTGAAGGCATGTAGGGCAAACTGCGAATGTTCCAAATCTCTCTACATAATATAACAGCTACTTCGTAATTGAAATTGCATTGAATCATGTACTCACCAAACCAAGTCCTTCAATTTAGTTCATCATGGATGTGAGAGAGAGAGAGAGAGAGAGAGAGAGAGAGAGAGAGAGTTCGCCGGAAACGTACGAAGAACAGCGACGATTTGATGGTCGAGCCGATAGAGTGATAGGTGGGTTCTAAATTTAGAAATTGCTCCAAAAATTTTTGGGAAAACTATCAAATAAGCCCCCGTATTATACCGAAAAAGTCGATTAGGCCCTCGTACTTTACAAACACTCAATTAAGTCCTCGAACTATTAAAAAACGTTCAATTAAGACCTTTTGGTGGGTAAGTAACCGATTTCCGGGTTAAACGACGACGATGGCGATGATGTGCTCGAACCCCAGCAACGGCGGCTTCCGGGAAACAGGTTACATTTAACCGGGAAACCGGTTACTTACCGACCGAAAGGGCTTAATTGAACGTTTTTTAATAGTTCGAGGACTTAATTGAGTGTTTGTAAAGTACGAGGGCCTAATCGACCTTTTCGGTATACTACGAGGGCTTATTTGATAGTTTTCCCAAAAAAATTTTAAATTTCAGAAGTATAATTTTTTTATTCCCTGGATAGGACTAATCTACCAAGTTTGGAAAAAAATGTCATGTTTTAAACCCTAACCCCTAATAATGTCAACATTGACATAAATTTACTCCTATTTAAGGAATAAAAAACATATACTCCTATTTTAAAATTTCAAAACTTTTTTACGCCAGGAATTCCCAACTTTCTAAATTCTACCGAAGTACGGAGTAATACAGTTGTGGAACGAAAGCGCCGTTTATACATTCACGGCTGTTTGGTTTTACCTATGTTTTTTGGGCTCCTTCTTTTGCAAACAAAAAACTTATTTACTAATGATAAAATTAAAAAAAAAATTATCAAATATTACTTTTTAAAATGTGATAGATAAAAATATTATCTAATAACTATTAGTGATAATAATTTTGTTCAAATTTACATCATAGTAATTACATCATTTACATGTAAGTTACTACGATGTAAACTTTGAACACAATTATATTCATGAATAGTTATTAAATAATATTCTTGTCCGTACTTTTTTATTAGTAATATTTATGGAAAATTCCTAAAACTAATAAGAAACCAAGCAACATAATACTTCCTTCGTCCCAAATTAAATTTCAAAATTAACTTGTTGGGTCAAATAGATTCATTTTATTACGTAATTAGGATATCGATTTTTATTTGATATTTAATTTGCATTACGTAACTTCATAGAAATTTGAATGAAGTTTCTGCAAATGTAAATTTTGTTTATTAAAATTGAATTTCTTATCAATAGGGAGGATTTAACTTTAACATTGATTGACAAAAAAATGTTGATTGTGTAAAATATTTTGGAATGGAGGTAGTAGCTCAAAACTACATCAAAGTAAGACATAAAATTGAAAAGCCCCCAAAAGGCCAATCAAAAGCGCTAATCCCACATCTAGATAGTCTTCTAATATAATAGCATTACTGAACTTGTTACTCCAATGATAACTAAAATATAATAAATTATCTTTGGAAGAAGGGTAATAAATTAATTCAAGAATCCCCACACGAAGGAAAGATGAGATTATACATGCCGCTTTGAAAAGAAAACTTCCATTCTCATACTCGGTCAAAGTTCTAGGCGGTGCTGCTCTGATAGCACCGTCTCATTGTCGTTTTTATCCATTGCCATCTTCTTCCATGTTTACTTGGACCTTCAAAGAGTAGCTCATTACCTTCCTCCTCGTGCATGGACATTCTATCATAAGTATTAGTGTTGTTCTCCATATCTATAGGCAAAAATTAGCTTCCAAACCCAGCTAGAACAATACAAAACAAACTAAAGCAGTGATCATAAATAGAAATCAACAAAAAAACGTGCATATAAAATTAAGAGAATCCTTGGTCAAGATACAACTGAGCAGTAGAAAGAAGACACACTTGAAAAAAAGACAAAATTTCTGGAACCTAAGGAAAAGAAATGGGAACCTTTATAGACCCAATCGTGGATACGCTCCAATTAACTCCAACAAAAAATGTAGATCGAAAGTGAGAAGAGAAGAGCACCGCGGCTTCTTGATTTCTAGGGTTCGGTCATCATTTAGAAACATCATTATATGTTTCTAGGGCTGGTGATAACCTAAAAAATCAAAATCTCCACGAGTTTATATGAAAATTTAATATTGACTCGATCAATTTAGTTTTTCCTACAATCAAGCATCCTCAATATAGTCACCTAACACATTTTTAACTAAATTCTTACTTGAACTATTATACATATTTTTTTGATAAATTGTTTTTTGCGGATAATTATGATTTAAAAATTCAAACATCCAAATAAATTAATTTGGAGTTTAAATTTGATGGTGTTGCTTCAAACCAATTTTTGAAAACAATAACTAAAAGATGTAAAAACTATTATAATCATGAGATGATGATGAGATCTTAATTTTAAGATTTGGGTCTAGTTAAGAAAAGAATGGAGCCTAAAAATCTCCAAAAACTTCATACTTCGTATTTTTCTTAATTTATATGCAATATATATTTTTATAAACTTCAATATATTTTTGTAAAAAAATAGAGTACCCTTGTTGACCAATCTGCTTTAACATATTTATTTACTCCCCCATCTCTGGCCACCCAACACCATGCCTATCTACACCAACGGTTATCTAATATTCACCTTAACCTTGGGAAGTTGCATCTCCCACCTCCACCACTTGTCTCCATTGGAAGGACTTTTATTACACCAGGGTTTCCAAATACTCTCTAAAGTAGTAACAAAACAACATAACTTCTCCTCTGGCAAATTATCAAACGACATGCATTCAACCCAATTGATCGTTATATTTTTTAGTGAGTAAAACGTAGTTGGTTAATCCGTAGAATAACCAGACCACGAGTATCGTCTCTCAAGGAGTGATAAAAAGGAAGTTTTAAATACAGTCCGTGATCACAGGCTAGCACAAGTCATGTTAATCTTTCCGAATAAATTGTTTTCGGGTGATTAAAAAGAAAATAACTAACAGCGAGTGCAAAAAAAATAAATAGAGTAGAAAAAAAGTAAACTGATTCTAGATATTAAAACAGGGTTCAAATTGGATGGATAGGGTTCTGGATGTTCTTTCGAAATTAGAATTAAGCAAATTAATTTCCAATTACTCCTGGAAAGAAAATGAAATAAATTCTCATAGACAAGAATTAAATCATATTTCAACGATCCTAACTTATTTCTAAAATCAGATTGCTTGTATAAGACCCAAGCTAATTTAACTCAATTTCTCATAGACAAGAACTGAATTAAATCCAAACATTCATATATGAGGTGATCAAATTCATATAGACAATTATGATCAATCTTATACAATTTTCCAGAAAATTAATTGAATTTCAAAAACTAAATTCACACCCTCAAGAACCCATGAACTCTAGCCCCAATTCAAACCCTATAGGAAATTAGCTACTCATACTAAAAATTGACATCTCAATTTTATTCATAAGCACTATAAGGAGCTAGTTAAATAATTAATTAAGGTGAAAAAAAAGGAAAAAAAACAATGACTTAATTAAATGAGAAAATCGGAAGTTAATAACTAAAGACTAAGAAGCTCCAATCCAATCCAAATTGATGAGTATAGAACTAGTAATCATCACTAGGAATATAATTGAATTTAAAAGAAATTGGGACAAACATTGAAAGGAACCTCAGATTCTTTCTTGGTGCTACGTTGTTCAAAAGAGAGAAGAAAAAAATATGTTGCTGTCCTTTTTGTTTCTGCCTGCTGCGGCTGCTTGCATAGAAGGAGGAAAACTGTTGGTGCGGCTATCTTCTACCTACGGCTGGATTGTTTTTCAGGGAAAACCCCTGCTGAAGCTAGTTGATTGTATGCTACCCAAAAAAAGATGAAAACTGAATCCCCTGAATCCCTGGTGCTTGCTAATGTGTTGGGAAACGAAAGAAAAGAAAAAGAGGGGGTGAACTCATTGGTGCGGCTGCTAGTTCCAAGAAAAAAGGCGAGCTCATGCTCTTCGTTTTTGGACTCCTTGAGAAAGATCCAATCTCCTTTTTCATTTTCTTTTTCGGCTGCACTTAATAACTTTTAACACATCACTCAAATGATCCGGTCCAAATTCACCGCAGATTCGGCCTATAACAATCACAACTCGCCACACGGCTAATAATATGTAACTTTGCAATCGAGTTACTCGAAAAATGTCAAATTGTGTAGACAAATACTAAACCGGAAATGAATGGCACCGGGATCGAAAAATTACAAATTTTCATTCAAAACCCACAATAGTCACCCGATTAATTATAAAAATTAGACAATTAACACCCAAAATATGGGTGAAAAGATAGGAACAGAATGAGCCTATCAAATCTTCCCACACTTGAGCGTTGCTTTCCCCCAAGCAACATGTAACACCTGGTTCAAAAATCATTCACACCCAAAACAAATGACTGCACAAGGTCTTTTCTTTCTTAACAACAAAACCAAGATTCACCTATTGATGGAGTATATGGGTCTGAGCCCCAGGACCCACATACTCGGAAGAACAGAAAGCACAAGACAACAGAGTGGCGCCCTCGTCGGCCAAGACGCCCCTGTCGGCCGAGAAGAAGCCAACTCGGCTCATGGTCCTGAGTCCAAGGAACCCGGGTGCCCTCGTCGGCCGTGCCCTCGTCGGCCACGAGGACCTCCCAGAATCGGATCCTATACTTACTCATTTGTACAGCCCATTAGAGGCTTTGTATTCGGCCCAGTAGCGGTCCAGTTGTAAATGGGCCTCCCAAGCCCAAGGCTTGGGAGCCCAACCCTAATTTTCTCTATAAATACTCCCCTTGGGAGTAGTTATAGGGGTTACAAATTCATTCTATTGAAGCATATTATTGCACTTCTCTCTCTAGCTCTCACTTCTCTCTAGAATCTAAGAGATATACTCTATCATTTGGTGCTCTCGTTGAGAGCCAGAACAATCAAGTTAGCACCCTTCGTCGCTACCAAGCACAGCTAACCACTGATCATGGGGAGAACTAAGTCAAACCGCAACCTCGTCAGCAAAGCCATCCCTGAGGACCAAGAGCCCAGGGAGCACGATGAGGACGCCACGGCCGACCAGGTCGGCGGAGGGGACCTCTTCCAGGAGGCCTTCAACC